ATGACAGCAGCACGTGACATGACAGCAGGCCGTGAAATGACAGCAGGCCGTGGCGTGACAGCAGGCCGTGACATGACAGCAGGCCATGACAGCAGGCCGTGACATGATAGCAGGCCGTGACGTGACAGCAGCACGTGGCATGACAGCAGGCCATGACAGCAGCACGTGGCATGACAGCAGGCCGTGATGTGACAGCAGGCTGTGGCATGACAGCAGGATGTGACATGACAGCAGGCCGTGGCATGACAGCAGGCCGTGACGTGACAGCAGCACGTGGCATGACAGCAGGCCGTGACGTGACAGCAGCACGTGGCATGACAGCAGGCCGTGGCATGACAGCAGGCCATGACAGCAGGCCGTGACGTGACAGCAGGCCGTGACGTGACAGCAGGCCGTGACATGACAGCAGGCCGTGACGTGACAGCAGCACGTGACGTGACAGCAGCACGTGGCATGACAGCAGGCCATGTCGTCCCCTCCCTCGCCACAGGAAGCTCATCGTTGAGCCTTCGTCGGTCATCACCTCTTACGTTGCATTCTGGTGACCGTGGGCCACCAGCTTGTTCCTGGGCCATACATGGCTCCCGTTGTCACGTGGACCCCAGTGCCTACCACACAGCCTCCTGCGTCCTGGTGCCCGTGGCCTGTGTACTGCTGGCGGCCAGTTCCCGCCTGTTTCTGCTCATTGGCCGGACATCGTCTTGGTGTTTGACCTGCTGCGCCGTCTAGAAGGCTGGGGTGTGCCAGGCTCACAGGCAGTGGTGGGTACGGTCCAGAGGTGACGTCTCCTGACATGTATGCGGGACGCATCTGCACCCTGGTGCTGTTCCTGTTGCCTGTAGCGGGCTGTGAGGGATCCTGCCCTCAGTCAGGAGAGGTGTGAGTGCGTGTGTCTGCCCTTCTTTCGGGAGCTTGGCTTGGCTCATCCTCCTTGCTCTGGAGTTGGGAGCCTGGGGAGGTGTTGTGGCTCAGCGAGGGCTGAGCCCCTGGTGTGGCCTTGCACACAGAATGGCTGTGGGCTGACGCACGCAGATGCCCGTCTCACCCTGCCTCTCTCTCTCCTCAGATGAGCAAGGTGTGGGATGACTTGAAGCCCAAGCTGCACTGCCTGTTTGCTGGACCAAGTGGTGCCCCGACGGTGCCTCAAACCCCCCAGGAGGACCGCCTGCTTCCTCGCTAGTGCCACAGACCCCTGGACCCCACTAAAGCGTGCTTCCAAACGCTGTGTCCGTTTAATTCCACCACCTGGTGTGCTGGGTGGCTGGTGATCTGGGGACAGAGGGGTGGGGTCCCAGCCGTGAGGCCTCGCCTCCCAAGGGCTTGGTGTGCAGCCGCAGAGACTGCTCTGCACGCTGTGCTGTGGGGCTGAGAAGTGCTGGGGCCCTTGGAGAGGGGCGTCTGCCAGCCAGCGTGGGTGGGGGGTGTTCTCAGCACAGGGTGGCTGGGAGAGCTGAGGGTCTGGTTTGGACGTCGCGGCCACTTGGCCTCCAGGGCCCAGCATGCTGAGCAGGTGGGCAGAGGGCTGAGGTCTCGAGGACAGGGCGTCCCCGTGGCCAGGCCTGCATCTGGGTGAGGAGACAGCAGTGTTGACATGGAATTTGTCTGTGCAAGGGCAGTCGGTCGTGCAGACTGCACGCCTGAGGGGGTGGAGACGTGCAAGTGTCCTGTGGGGGAAAGCTGTGAGAACACGTGTGAGCACATCAGCAACACGACAGGGAACAGGGAGACAGGCTGTGACTCACGTGGGACAGGGCAGCTGGGTGCGTGCGGTGTTACCATCCTAGGGATGAGTTCCAGGAGTACCCTGGGCCCATGTGTGTCTGAGTCCCTGCACACGCATGTGGTACAAGATGGAGGGAGCCCAGCCTGTCTGCACCCTGGTGCGCACGCCAGCTGGGCCCTGTGGCCTGTGCTCCCCCTGCTCACAGCGGGGGCTGGCCAGCCTCTCCTGGCTAAGGGTCAGACACTCCTCCTTGAGTGGAGTGGGTCACTTCTGAGACACACAGAGCCTCTCTGTGGCCGGGAGCCTACATCCCTCGCCAGCCCTGCTGAGTCCTGGTGCTCACTGGCAAGGTGAGCCTCTGACACCAGGCCCTTGGTGACTGGGGAGGTGGGACTCCTGCTCACAGCCTCCGTGGCCCTGAGTGTTGGGTGTCCCCAGGGGTGAGCTTGTTCTCACGTGTGCTTTGCTCAGGTGGCTGCTGGGGGGGGGAGGGGAGCACCTGGGCAGGGGTTGCCTGTGCCATGTGCCCAGGGGGACAAGAGCTCTCTGGCTGCACCTTCCTTGTCCCCTCACCCCTGGGGCCAAGCCCCCTTGAAGTCCCAGCTGGTGGCACTCCTTTGAAGCTCAGCACTGCCACGCGGCAGAGGCCATTGGCCCGGCCTGTTTGCCTGCAGTGCTGCTGAAGCCCCGGGCTGGGGGGCTGCCTCGGCCCCTCGGAGGCACGTTACCAGACATGGGGGTCTGTTTCTCCCAGAAAACTGGTGGTTTCCATTGACCCACATTCCGTGGCTCCTGCGAGTAAGCCTGTGTGCACAGCCGTCACACTCCACGTACCTGGGACAGTGCAGTCAGCTGCTAAGTGGCTGTGTGAGCAGGTGGCCTGCTGGGGGCTGGCAGTGAGAACACCCCATTCCCTTGGGCTCGGGAGGGCTGCTTCTGTGCGGCGGAGTCCTGGCTTTGACCTGGGCCTGAGCCATACCTCAGTGTCCTGGAATCTACCAGGGGGAAGTCACAAGCGCAGGGGTGGAGACACTGGAACTGATGGGGCGTCTAGCTGCCCCACGAGCCAGCTGGAGCCCAGCGGTGTGTGTGCCCGCCGCACCCGGCCGTCCCGTGTCACCACTCGCTGGGTGTCTCCTCTGCCCCCACCCTGGGGGTGAGGCCACGGCCCCGCAGCACTCCACAAGCACGCCTGAAGCCCCCGGAGGCAGGTCTGTGCTGGCTCCATGGCCAGCGAAGAAACTTAAAAATCAGGACATTTATTTGACTTTGATCGTGTGCCAAACAAGGAAGATGGACCTGGCCCGGCCCCTGGTCCCATGGACTCTCCCGTGGTGTCCTTTGAGGTTCACTGTGTGCAGCAGGATGACCCTAAGGCTGGTGCCTTCAACGCCCCTAGAACCGGTCCACCTCATGCAGCGCGTGCCCCAGGATGGTGTCCTGGCCTCGGAAGCGGAAGTGCCCCAGGAACTTCTTCTTCTGGAGCAGGAGGGGGAACCAGTAGCTGTCATCCGGCCACATGTCACTGAAGGGGATCTGGTCCAGCTGGAACCACTGCGGGCGCATTTCTGCAGAGGAGAGAACCGCATCTCACGTGAGAAGCATCCAGGTGGGCCCCCGGGTGCTCGGACGCTGCAGCTGGCCCCATGGGTGTCGGTAGCCAGGCCTCGTGACAGGAGAGACTCACCTTCACTCTCCACGGGCGTCCCCTGGACGTGCTCAGTGCAGAAGATGTGCACGTCCATGTGCTCCGGGTTGCCCTCGAACTCGAAGGTGATCTGCCCCACCTTGTGCAGCGTGTCTGCCGTCAGACCGCTTTCCTCCCGCAGCTCCCTGGGGTGGGGGCAGAAGCAGTCAGTCAGGGCAATGGGCCCACAGCCACACGGAATGGGACGGGAGAGGACAGGGTGCAGGGCTTGAAGCCGGGGGGCCAGGGGTGCACAGAGGAGACGCAGGCCGGCCGAGCCCGGGGCTGTCTGCGAGCTCGTCACAGCTGATCTGGCCCTGGGATTCTGGGGTGGGGCCAAGAATCACCCACAGGAGACTGGGGGGCGCGGGTGACTGACGGGTCTCACGGGTTACTGGCGAGCAGGGACCATCGCCCAATTCTCCACTCTGGCTGCCTGTGGCATCTTGGCAGGGGTGGGTCCCCACTCTCCAGGCCCCGCCTGCCTTGTACCCTTTCTCTGACAGCACCAGTCACAGGTTTGTTTGACCTTGTATCTCATTCTGGTTTTGCTGTTGTCGGGAGTGTGCACAGTAGGACACCCACTGCCTCTCCACTCCTGCGCTGGCCGTTCAGCCACACAGCGCCTGTCCTTTGAGCGGTGCCCCCCCCCCACAGCCCCCGCAGAGGTCCCCGCGCACAGACACACACCGGCCCTGACCCTCTGCGTTGCTGCTGTCAGTTTGATCCTGGACGGACAGATCTGAAAAGCGCTCCGTGCTCAGGGCACACGTTCCTACTAGTTTAGCTCAATACTACATGCTCTTAAGAAGCCCCTCATGGGTTTAGCGTCTCCCTCCAGGAGGAGCGGTGGTTTAAACCTGCTCCACCTCGTGCAGGTGCTGGTCACACAGGCCCAGTGCTTTGGGCCTGCCTTGTTGCCCCCACTAGCTAACCCAGCTGTGCTCGGGGTGGTAGGAGCCTTCGTTGGGCGCCTGATTAGACAAGTCCTGGGAGCTGGAGCTGGGCCCTCGGACGCCTGAGTGTGAACAAAAGACCCCGGTGCGAGTGCGAGTTGTACGCTAGTTCATGTACAACCTCAGCTGATCCCTTTAAACTGCGCAGGCGTCGCAGGCAATGTGGAGGTTACCGCCACGAGCTCACCCCCCGGTGAAGCCTGCCAACAGCAGGCATCCCTCCCTCCGGCCTTTCTCCTCCTCCAACTTCCTAGAAGACCGCAAGCGTGACACACGTTCTTCGTGGTCCTGAGTGGCACAGGTAGCTAAGTGCTCGGCCACTCACCGCAAGGTCGGCCGTCGGTGCCTCCCATCAGCACCTGGGAAGAAAGGCCCGAGGACCTGCTGCTGAGCACTCAGCCCCTGGAAACCCCGTGGCGCCGTCCCGCAGGGCGGCTGCGGGTTAGTGTTGACGCGACAGCAGCTGTGTGTTTATTTTCTCCTCACCAATACATAAGCGCGTGCCTGGCTCGCCACACCTTTGCGAGTTCGGTTTCTTAGGCCATATGTTACGTGGGAGCCTTGGTGGCTACGAACGGGGCTGTTTCCCCTTCCTCAGTGCCCTGTCTCTAGGTCTGTTATCTATAAAAACACTCTGATTACGCCCGACGGTTGCTAGTTGTATGTGAAACAATGCTTCTGCTTCGCCGTCCCACTGGAAACCCGAGGTGGGAGCCCTTCCTGAGCCTGTAGTAAAGGGAGAAGGTGCCACTCTGCTCGTCCAAACAAACCAAACCCAAACGCCATTAGCTGAAATGGTCTTACAGTGATGCTCGGCTCTGCCTTGACCTCGACCTGGGGAAGAAATGCTTCCGATTCAGGGAGCCCTGGTGGCGCAGCGGGTGAGCACTCGGCTAATGGAAAGGTGGGTGGGCTGAAACCAGCAGTGGTTGTGGGAAAGACCTGCCCGTCTGTCCCCGTTTAGCACACTCAAGGAAGCTGGGGCAGTTCCACTGTCATGGGGGGGTTGCTGCGAGTCGGAATGGACTTGATGGTGCCCCCCACCAGCCCTGCTGATTCAACAGCAGACCCCAATAATGACTGGGAAGCTGGAGTTTACGGAGATGACTGATTAAAGTCAGACTTCCCCTGGAAAATGGTGTGTGTATTTTCATTTGGGGGGTGTAAGCGGCTGTCCAGTTAAGTGCAGTGGCCGTTCTTGGTGGGTGCTCACTGCCTCTCTGGCGGTGGCCGGTGGAGCCTGTTCCTGAAAGGCCCATATACTGATGACGTTCTCTGACTACTTGTCATCTCCCCCGAGTATGGGCCAGTGTATGAGAAATACCAGTGATCCCCTGGGTGCCCCAGTGGAGACGTTAAGACAGTGGTGACCGTGTGTGGCTGTGCTAAGTGTCTGCCACGCTGCTGTGACGTTCAGTTCCCGGGTGGCAGAGGGAACAGGACAAGGCATCAACTCAGCGGAAACACGGAGCAGCCATGTGTGGCCGTGGGGGAGGTGGGCGCAGCCTGGCAGGTCTGCTTCCCGGCCTGGGCAGCTGTGTCACTCAGCTGTGGGACTCAGGCTGTCCTCCCCCTGGTGGGGCCTTGTGCCCTGGTTCTTTGGAAAGACAGCT